CCGTGGTGAAGCCGCGCGTGCGCGGTTGCCGCTCCCCCCGGCGCTGGCCACCGCCCCAGCCGTGATGCGGTCCGGCCAGTGACCCCTGCCGGCCGAGCGGGGCGGGTTCGTGCCGCGGCGCTGCGGCGAGCGCGGGGTAGTCTGCGGGGAGCTGCCGTCCTTCGCGTCCCGCGTGATCCACTTGCCTGGATCGTAACGAGGCCTCGTTCGCATCAGTCTCAGAAGAAGCGGAAGAAGAAGAAGAAGACAAAGAGAACGAACCAGAGGCCTGGATCTTGGTGTCGCGAATGAGGCGCCACTCCTCTTCGCTGATGTGTTCCAGCACCTGCTTCTTCCCGTGTAGCGTGTGTGTCTCGTACGCCGTCACCAGCGACTGTCGCACAGCACACACACAACACACACCGACACCGACACACACGAAAATACATCACACCACAACACACGTAGGGACAAGAAGTGGAAAAGAGGAATATAATGTAATACAAGAGAATATTATGAGGTAAGAAACTGCTGAGGAGGAAGGTAAGAAAAGAAGAAGGCGAGGTAGTGGTGGCGACAAAGAGTGGAGGGGAGGGTACCTTGACGGTGGGCTTTAGGATGCGGTGGCCCGCTACGTCGACCTCTTGCGGGTGGAGCGGGTTGGCCTCAGGGTCATCCCCTCCTTTGCTCACCAGCTGGTCCCCCTCCATTGGGTTCTTGGCCTGCGTGTTCTCTTCCACAGCCTCCATCATCTCCATCTCCATCTTCCAATCTTTTCTTCTCGGTTCAGCCGCCAATTAGAAGAGCGCTTTTGTCGTCCAGCGGACCCGCCTCCTCCGCTTGCCGTCGCGCAAAGTCGCGGCTTGCGTGAGTGCCAAGAGCAGCCCCCTCCCTTCTTCCTCCTCTGTCCTCTCCGTTCAAACGTTGTGTTCGCGGCCGTGACCGCTTCACTGGGCAACAGCCGCTATGTTCTGCATTCCTCGCATATTTCGTTACGACGTTACCACGCACATCGCTATGTCGACAAAAATACAACGTGTAGCACATGCTTGATCTTGATGTTCATCAGTCCTTTATATGTTCGAGCTGCAGGACTACTCATGGTTGTGCTCCATCGCTTGGCCGGACCAGGTCGCTCATCGTCGCCGGTGTCGTGGTGGTGACCACCACGCTCTCTTTGGTCTTCCTCCTCTTGTGGGACTTCGACTTGCTCTTGCCGCCCTCTGAGCCGGGCGAGACGTCGAGCCGGTCGGTGGAGGTCCACGCGAAGCCCAGCTCGTTCAGCTTCTGCTCGCGCTCGAGCGCCATCTTGCCGTTCTTCTTGGCGTATCGCTGCACGTAGATCCACCTCGACAACGCCATGTTGGCTGAACCCAGATGAAACCAAGTGTGAGCGATTGGCGGTCTACACACCACACACATACGCGACCACCACACACGGCACCGCACACACAACACGCAAACCACGCGTGCTGACTCACCGGAAATGGGAACGGTCATGTTGCCGTGCTCCTGGCGCCACTTCTTGAGCTCTTCGTACTTTTCGTTCCACGCTCGGTGGCGCTCCCTCACCAGCTGCTCCTGGCGTGACGCGGTCTCGGCGCTGCGCTTTCTCCCTCGCGACTTTGGCTTCGTCGACGCGGCCGTGGCCAGGGTGGTCGTAGTGGCGGTTAGCGACGGCATCGTATGCTGGGCGCCGCCGTCGGCTTCCGTTTCGCTGCCACCGGCTTCTTCGTCGTTGCCATACTCCTCATCCCCCTCGTCCTCCGCGTCATCCTCTTCTTCGCTCAGTTCGATGTGGCTGTCCTCGCCCTCACCGCTCCCGCCCGCGGTCTGTTGATGATGTCCGTCGTCGTCTTCCTTGGCTCCGCTCTCCTCGCTGTCTTTCTCTTCAGCTTCTGCGCCGTTGTCGTCTTTCTCGCCCTCAAATCTGTCGTCGTTGAAGACCGCCGCCTTGGGACCCGTCACGCGAATCACGCGCGGAGCCGTGGGCAGCGGCGCAGGACTGACACGCGTTTCCGCAGCCGGCGCCGGCGTAGGCGTCGGCGAACGGCCGGTG